CAGAGTGAGAGAATTGAAAAGGAAAATCTGATCACCAGTCAACAGATATATTATCAGAGGTCGATCTTCTAGAAATTATACTATCAGTTGCTGTGGTGGAAGCGTTTGGCTCCTCTGCTAAGTCTTTTCTGCAGATGTTATTTTGTGTGTGTATAGAGTGTGGGAAAAGTATTAGAGAAGTGGTTATTTAATGACGCTAATATGCTTTTAAAACAAAATGATCTGTAGTGAATGTGAAGAGTGTCATCCATAGAAAAGTCAAGTCCACAGTGGAAGCCATTCTGTGGAGGATGTTTCCATGAAATTCTGCTATAAAGCAGAACAGAGCTACATACAATAACAATAACATGTCTCATCTTGTTAGGTGGGATCGGTCACATGGAATGCTCGACGGAAGCTATTATGTTCTAAGCCAGAACATAACTACATGCCATGGTTTATTCACTCTAATTTCAGAATCATGCTCATCCGTCGTGTGAAGAGCTCGCTTCACGCCTCCTTTTTGGTTTGTTGCCTTTACGGACTAATTCAATGGAAGCAGGTAATCCAAGAGCTGAAGATATAGATTGATTGAAGACTTAGATGGTCTATATGTCGCAGCAGCATTTGTTTTACTATTATGCTCTCACTTTCTTTGTGCACTTGCTTGTGACTTGTTTCAGTTTTAGCTATATCAGAACCTAACCATGTGAATCTGAGGAAACTTCATATTCAAATAATGTGTTTTCCATTGCACTCTACTGAGTTGTGATCAGCACCACCACCAAATGCTGCTTCTGTGTTTGTTTATGAACTAATTATTTTCAGTTACAATGATCAATTTGGCTACTGGCTGGCTTGGACATCTATTAATCTAAGTTGAACTTGTCATCATTTCCGGAAGACTTCGAAGAAAAAATGTTGGAATATTTTTCAACAATGAATTGCAATAATTGATTATGAGTTTGAAGTTTGGTTAATTATTGAGTGCATAACAAATCGGTTTTGACGATATCTTATATGACCTATGAGAGGTAGATTATGTAAGTAAACTCATTAGATAGAAACCTAACCTATAATCCTATAAAAGACTATTATTTCCTTATCTCTTAGTTGATTAAATCAAGAGGTTTTGATTGAAAAAATTTGTATAATTCATTTAGTTAGTCGAGGTGGTTACTTAGCCAATCTTCTACCTGTTGAAAATATCATATATTCATATGTTATTTTGAAATTTAAAATTTAAGTATCCATTGATATAATAGATGATCATTCAACAATCTTAGTATATCTTTTCTCTCTCAATCCTCTCAACACCAAGTTACCTGCCCTGGTAGGTTGTGAACCTATTCAGTTTTTTTGAGATAATTGAGATCTTTACTTTTTGTATTTTTTCATTCTTTTTTTATTGTTTTCATATATCTTTTTATTAGAAATAATCCTATTCAAAATATAATTAACCACTAAATATAAGCACATCTCTTTATAAGGATTCAAATCTTAGTTCATCACATTTTAAGAAAATAGCCCATCCCACTAAACCTAATCCTGTTGGTAAGTTTGTACTTTTTTTCCCTAGAGCAATGGATTTCGTAGGTGTGCTCCATATTTGTCATTACTTTATACTATTATTGAGATAATTTTAGCAAAAAATAAATGTTGGTATATTTTCAAAATGAAAAAATGTCTTTTTAAAAAATCATGTCCTTATAAATTAAGGAATTTTTTATGAACAAGTTATCTAGAGAGTTATAGTCACCAATATTATGTATCTCTAATTTCTAAAGACTCCTTTGGAGGATTATAAAATTAAAAGGTGTCACTCGAGGAAAGAAAATGTATTTTAAGAAAACTCTACATATTAAAAGAATGATTCTTTTTATGAAAAATTATTATAAATAACTCTTAGTTAATATTAACTATTAGACCATGTAGATTCATGAACTAATTAATATAAGGGTTATGAACCAATATTAATTATAAATTTTAAGGAGAATTTTATTATTTAAAAGGTATCACTTTAAGGTATCATTTCAATATCTATAAATACCCTTCACCAACACACTTATTTAGTACATTTTACCATTGACATTCATTGTCTTTGTCTTGGAGTGCACTTGGGAAAAAATTAAATTAACATTTTGTAAAAACAATTATTGTACTGACTTGAGTTTGAAAGTGAAATCCACATTCAAAGGTTCTCATTGCATTCTAAACGAAAATTCACTATTAACACAATTTTCATGTGAAGATTATAATACATGGAAGTGATTAAGTGGAAAGGAAAATGAGTGCCCCCTCCTAAATTTCTACTTCTTTTATTTTTCGAAGAGCCATTCCTGCCAAAAAGGGGGACATATGAGCTTGTCCTCAATGAAATATTGTGTTTATGAAACAAGTCTGACGAATGATATTTCAAAATTAACTAGTGACTAATGTTTTTAAAATCAGATGAGATATTGAATCGGAAAGATCAGCAGTTTACGATTTACATAGTTCAATCGAATTAGATTAATAATCGAACCAATGACGTAATAATTAAATTAAAAAATTATATATGTATATACTAATTTAAATATAAAAAATAAATATGAAATTGTTACTTAACTTAAAAATAAAATTAAATATTTTAAGTTTATCATGACTTAACAAACTACATGATACAATATAATATCAAATGATTAAAAAAATTGATTATTTTCTAAACAAAATTGATAAAAAAAGAAAAATCTAGTTTTTAAAAATTAAATTTGATTCCTAGTCTGACTGTTAGTCCAAAATGACCAAAAATAATTTTTACATACTAATTAAGCCAAAATCTAGATCAATTGATGGTCAGACCAGTTTGATAGTCTAATTTTTTAATTACCGCCAGTGACATTCAAAAGGTTTCTTGAACAAATTCGTATTCGTTCGTTGGAATTGTTCTCATAGCATGAACCATTGTGTATGGTATCCATTTGTTTGATCCCTATGGGATTTACATATAAAAAGCGGACACCGCACGCTAGTCTCGCTCGTGCCTTGATGGTACATTCTCTTGTTTTCTGGGAATGTTCATGGGGTCTCGCGTTCGAGACATGGTAGCTAGTACTCCCTCTGGTCCTTTGCTCCTTCTCATCAAAAATGATTACAGTTCCCCTCTATGAATCACAACTATGAGGTACTTCAAAGCACCTCTCTTTTGGGCCCACTTGGGCCGACACAACGGGCCCAAGCCCAGTTTTTTGTTAATCCTTTCCTTTGCTCATTTTGCATTCCTGACAATCAATCAACACACGTTGTGTAATTTTTTATTAGAAAAGAAAAGAGCACTGAGCATTGGTAAAGATTGCAGCTAAAATTATTCCTAATTTATAAAATATTTTAAAATAAAGTCAAATGTACTAATAAAGTTTATTAAATATATTTTATAATTTTATTTTTTTAACACAAAAATATAAATTTTTAAAAATATCCCTAATTTAATATTTCATTTATAAAAAAATTAAAAAAAAGAGAATGTATGAAAAGGATAATACTAAAAAAATATTATTAATGAAATCTTATTTTTATTAAAATATTTTATATTTTAATAAGTTAAGTTTACTCCAAATATGTTTTACAAATCAGGACAGAGGGAGTATTAAACATATGATAATGACAATTGATTTGTCCATAATTTAAACAATATCTTGCATTCATTGTTCCATCTATTATGAACACTTTCTCTTTCCGGCCAACAATTTACAATTCATATATAGTAAGTTTTAACATTGACAGGGAATTTTTGATGACGCCAATATCTCCGACGATCAATGTGACCATGATCAAGCCGTATTAATTGTGGGGATATGGTTCCGACTGTCATTAATTTGATCAGGTTTTCTCCATTTAATTTGATTACTTGGTATTTGATTTTCCTCTCAACAATAAGCATGCGCATGTGGAGTTATAATTATTTTGAACGGCTTCGATTTTTAATTTTTTTTACTTTTATTTTATAATATTATAAAAGTTAAAATTGGAAAAATAAAATGACATTTAAAAAAAATATTGGCCAAGATGGACTCTTAATTTGAAATTAGAATCCTATAAATCCATGAAATTAGAAGAGGATTCAAATTTTGTATGTGCATTTACACCATCTTATTCTTAATATAAGGTAAATTTTGGAAGCTTTTTTTTTTCTCTTTAATATAAAGCAAAATGAGAGTAGCTAATTTTTTTTCCAATTTTACCCTTGTTTATTTATTATAGTTTGAATTTCTAGACAACAATATAATATGGTCATTAATTACAATAATGATAAATTTGGAAAGTTACATATTTTTTAACAATTTCAAGACTATAATTACGATTTCTTATCTTAATAAGTATGAAATTATGTGACTTTGCCTTATTTGAAGGATAAATAAATAAAGGGAAAAAATTCAAACAATGGGGTCCTTATAATTTGCAAACATTTCCCTAAATTTGGTTCCTGTATTTTGTTCCCATAAGAATAAACTTCTCTGATATTTATTATATATAAAAATGTTACAAAATATTTCTCTAGAGGGCAATGTCCTCAAGCTATAAAGCAGAAAAACACAAGTGAATCAAAATATTTTATGATTCTGGTTTACTAGCTACATGTCTGCACTCTGCACTGTGGCCATATATACTAGCTTCGTTCATGTGAGCAATTTTCCAGGGTTACATTATAATTGTGTGCAAATTAAGCAGCCACTAACACACAAGCACTAGCGATGGTTAGTGAAATCACAAGAAAGAAAAAGGAAATAAACAGGAGTGAAACATCAGCGAGCTTTTCATGACTTCAAAAGTCAACAGAAGTGAGCTACTCATGTTCAAGAGCATATACAACATATAGAAAGAAAGTCATCTGATGATGTGTGATTATCTTCCTCTAACCTCAAACATGATTCAAGAATTCCTAATTACCTACAAAGCTCGGCGTATAACACAAAAAGACTCTGAAAGTTACATGCCACAGATATATATATGTAGTCATGACTCATATGACTCGACACACACAGTCAAGGCATGGCTCGGTGAAGAACAGAGATGTTGAAGCGATGATTGAACTTGTCCCATTGAAGCCCAATCTCATCTCCTTTCTTGAGATTCCTCCTCTTCAAGAAATCTTCGTTCCACTTCCCAATCAGAACAAAGCTCCCAGAAGAGGCCCATTTCTTGAGAACCAGACAGTGCAGCGACATGGTATCCACGTCCCAGAGCTTGATCTCAGCTCCGTCTCCGGCATCTAGTTTGAAGCTTTCTTCGTCGGTCAGGACGGTGCACACCAGATTCTGAACCATGTCGGAGGCTAGCAGGAGCCTGTTATGGTGGCGGAGGACGTCGGTGGCCGTGAGAACCTTCTTGATCTTCCACGGGTCGTCGTAGATTTTCAGAAGAGTGGAACAACCCCATGGTGTGCTGTCAATCTCTTCCCGCTCAAAACAGTGAACTCTCTTTCTCACAGAAGAAATCATGACAAAGATGATCGATGAGTATTAAGCAGCAGAAAGGATCTAACAGAGAAGTATATAAACAAATGGGAATGGTTTTTATATTTTGGAAACTTTCTATTTCAAATTTAGGAAACTAACGAGCGAGTCCCACCCTGATAGTAGTACACAATGAGATTTTTTCTTAAAAAATAGGAAAGTGATATTTAGAGTAAAATTGAATAAATAAACTCATTAACCAAGCCCCAGCTATTTAATTAAAGCCAAACAAAGTTAATAGGAAAAAATTGTGACTCAAGTCGGCTACTTAAAATTTAACGAAAATGACAGTCAACAGTTAACAGAAACTAAATTTAATAGTCTCGTCGATACGATAATATGCTTTGTGTTGATAAACTAATTGGTTTTGATACAAGAAATATACAGTAATAATTACTCCCTCTATCTGATATTTAGAACTGAGGGAACATTTTACAAAGTATGATATGTAATATTTATTAGCAATTATCGAATATATCCTTATTCAATTAATACTCCCTTAATCCTAAATTATAAGATATTTTTGGAGAAGATTCATCATTTTAAAATATAAGGCGACAAAAATAAAGTATTACTAATTATGATTTTTTGATATTATTATTTCCATTATATTATTTTTCTTTAATATTTTTATAAATTGATTATTAAATGATAATCATTTTTAAAAGTTTATATTTTTACTTTGAAACAAAATAAAATTATAAGGTGTACACTACAAAAAAAAATGACTTTTGACTGCAACAAAAAGTTACTATCAAAAGTTTAAAAGTCATCACTAAAAATTTTTAACAATAATTTTTCATCATTAAAAGATCGCCAAAGTCTCATCACCAACGGTCTTTTGTGGCGACAAACATTGTTGTATAATACATTATTAGAAATATATACATATATATTATATTATATTTTCATTTATTAATATGATAAAATAATTTATATGAGTGTGTCTGTACTATATTATATTTTTTAATAAAATATTATTTTTATTAGGAAAATGAACTTAAAATGAAATAATTTTTAAATATTAAATAATTTTCTATTAAACATTTCAACCAATTTCTAATTTTTAATTTTATTTTTTGAATGAAAATAATTAAGTATATAATTTATTTATAAGTATGTATTATATTAGTTTACATTAAATATATATCTTTTACTTTTTTTCATATTTTTCTCAAAAAATAAATGATTAAAATTTTATCATTTTCCAAGTTAAATGCTTTGCCTTCTTTTATTTAAAATAAATCGTATCTACAATTTTTTAATTATCTTAAAAAATATTTTAATCATATAAATTTTGTTAATAGTCATTTTGAACAATTATTCTTTATTATCTTTGAGATAGAAAATGAGTGGACATGTGATAAACAAAAAGAAGATGCTAAACAAAAAAAAATCAAATTAAAAATCTAAGTGAATATTTCATAATCAAAATAAAAAGAATCTTGTCTTGAGTTGATTTAGATTAGTTTGGAATTTTCTTAAAGTTTATTTAATAGAGTAAATCTCAAGATAATATTTTCTAATAAATTTACAATTTAAAATAAATAAACTTTAATAAGTTTATACATAATTTCATCCATAATTAAATATTAATATAGATTAAACAATTAAGTTTACAATTATCATCCAATAATAATCCCAACAAATTTAACATTAACAAATTAAACAATTTGAGTAATTTGAAGAACAAGAACCAGACCAGGAAACACTACCACAGAATACCCTCATACTTGATGCTTATTTTTGTTAATACCTGATGGTTTTTAATGGTCAAGTAACAGTGCAACATATATTATAGCCAACTTTACTTGACAATTAAAAATCGTCAAGTATTCTTCACCTATTTTATTTGTTTCTTATTTTAAATAATTATCAAATATGAAGCATTTTATTTAAATAATTCTGTGATAGTAAAAAGTAGAGCTCAACAAACAGAGTAGGTATCATATATATACCAATTAAAAACTTTACTTGACAATTAAAAATCATCAAGTATTCTTCACCTATTTTATTTGTTTCTTATTTTAAATAATCATCAAATATGGAGTGTCTTATTTAAATAATCCTATGGTAGTGAAAAGTAGAGCTCAGGAGACGGAGTAGACACCATATATATACCAAGCCAAGCATCAAGTGTGAAATGTGTTAAGTAATTTGCAATGTTATTTGCATCTATACAATTTTAACATTTCAATACTATTTATGTATATGTATGTAAGAAAGTAAATATTTATGTATAACTTAGCTTAATTATAATTTAAAAAAATTTGAATTAATTCATACAAAATTATAAAAAAATAATTTCATTTATAATTTATATATAACTTAGCTTAATTATATATACTAGCTTAATAAGATCAATATTAAAAAATAATCCATAAGAAATTTTTTTAAATGTAATTATTAAAATAAGATCATTATTAAAATATTAGCTTAATAAGATCATTATTTTTAAAAGTAATCGTTATTGATTTGATATATACTCCTTCCGTTCAAAAATATAAGGCATTTTTAATCAAATCTCACCCTCCAATAAAATAGTTACCTACTTTTTAACTAACACTATCTTTTTATATTTATCGTTATTACATACCTTATAATAAATATAAAGTCATTATCAATAGGGACACTTTTAGAAAAAAGATAATGATTGCACTTCGAAAGACTAAAAATGCCTTGCATTTTTGAATATCCAATTCTTTAAAAAAGGTCTTATATTTTTAAATGAAAGGAATAATTTATTTGTCATTCTATATATAAATACTTTTAGTGGTAACAAATTTTTCACTAAAAATAATCATGTAAATTAATTTTTATAAAAATAATTTTAAATTTTTTATGAAAATACTTTTAGCGATGATAACTTGTTATCACTAAAAGTAATATTACATAAATTATTTTTAATTTTTAAATTATTTTTTTATGAAAATACTTTTAGCGGTGACTGTTTGTCGAGCCAAAAGTAATTACATAAATTATTTTTAATTTCTTAATTATTTTTATGAGATAACTATCACCGCTAAAAGTAATTACATAAATTATTTTTAATTTTTAATTTTATTTTTATGAAATTACTTTTGGTGGTGAAAAACGTAATTGTATAAATTATCTTTAACTCTTAATTATTTTTTATCAAAATACTTTTGGCAGCTAAGAGTAATTACATAAATTACTTTTAATTTTTTAATTATTTTTTTATGAAAATACTTTTGGCTGCAACAAGCTGTCATCGCTAAAGATTATTACATAAATTAGTTTTTTATAAAAATACTTTTTATCACTACTAAAGGTAATTATATAAATTATTTTTAATTTTTAATTATTTTTTATGAAAATACTTTTGGTCGCTGCTAAAGGTTATAACATAAGTTATTTTTTATTTTTTTAATTATTTTTATAAAAATACACGAAAAGTACTTACATACATTATTTTTATTTTTTAATTATTTTTTATGAAAATACTATTGGTATTGACAAACTGTCGCCACTAAAAGTGATTTTTAGTGGTAGTAGTTAAAAGTCTCTAGTAAAAGGAGGCCTTTGACAATGACTTAAATATCTTTTTGGTGGCGACTCTTCGTGCAAAGTTGCCGTCAAAAGTCATTTTTTTATAGTGATATTTAATGAATTTTATTAGCATGTGTGAAAAATAAACATGTCTTATAATTTGAAACAGATGAAATATAATAGTATGTGAGAAGTAGACAATAGGTACCAATTATTTCACATTTTTTGATAAAATTGAATTAGGTTAGATTTGGAAAAAGGGTATAATTGTTTTTCAAAATAAGGTTTTTTTTTTATTATCGAAAGTTATATTCCTATATTAGAGGTAATTCTGGTTGAGGTATTGTAAAGCACTAAATGTAAATACTTTTTATAGTAGAATTCAATTTAAAAGGCACTAGGACTAGGGGGAGTATGAAGAAAGGAGATGGTCATATTATATATTAGCTTATTTCAATGAGATCGCATGATCACTTGCTAAAACAAGAAAATTACAATTTGATTGTACTTGAGATATTAACCGGCCAATTTACTCGTACCCTTCTAAACTATATTATATATTTACTTATTTAATCATGCAATTTAAATACTATTTATATATTTCCTCACTTTTTACCACTACATTAACTATTAATATAATGTGTGAAAATAGTGACTTGTCTTGTTAATTCTAATATGAAATATATTTATATAAGAAAAAAAAAATCTATCAAGTTCTATAAAAAAATAAAATAATAATAGAAAATAGTTATAATCAAATTAGTTATAACAGACCTAACAATGCAGAATAATATATACAATCAAAAATTTAATATTGCCTTATGTTATTCCCCATAAGCCAAAAAATGTATCACCTCTTTCTAACGGAGCTTAGAAAGACATATAAGTTAATGAGCGTTATACGAGTCTCTTTTTAGAGATTAAGATTTACTAAAGCAATGGGTATCGTCCCAGAAGATTATATATCGACAGAGTCATGAACAATTAAAACTTGGTTTTGATACGATATGAGATATGTTTATATAAAAAAAATCTATAAAAATCTATCAGAGAATAAAATAAAGATCTTTCAATATCTATCAAATAATAAAATAATAATAGAAAATATTATAAATAAATTCATTATAACCACCTTAACTATGCAAAATAATATATAATAAAAAATTCAATATTACCCCATGTTAACTATAAAAGAACACCAATGAATTTTTTTTTGGAAAAATATATATTATTAATTAAAAATTTATTAAAAAATTATAATTTTACATAGATGGAGGAATAAATAATGTAATTAAGTATAAAAGTTAAACTATAATACTCTCTCTCTCTCTTTAACCACAAACTCTGAATAATTTAAGGGTATGTTTAGATTAATGGTGATTTGGATTTGGTCCAAATCATAAAAGGACTTCTAAAGTTTACAAATGGCGTTGGGTGATGGAGAATTAAAATAGGAGGAAGAGCTATATAGACCT